TTCATTATATTTATAATTTCGAACAAAAGATTATGAGTGTATATATGTCAAAACGGGGGTTGCTTGCGTGACTATTTCGGGGTAGAATAATAAAATCTGCAAAACTACTTTCATTTAACTACTTCAGTATGATTCTTGTGTCCGATATACAAGTAAAACCGATAATTTATCATTCTCTGAAAGCTCTTAAAACATTTTGTTATCAGCAGGACTGATAGAAATTAAAAAAGGAGTCATATTGATAAACTGAGTACTTAGTAATCAATGAATCTTGAATAAGGAAGAATTTATTTTTAAAAATATGTTATCAAGATTATGTAAATTAAATTTTAAGTATTTTTATGAAAAATAGACTCTTTATCTAATACTAGTAGTGCCTTGCTAAAGAAAAATCTGGTAAAAGAAATAATAAACGAAGAAACAAAGAGGAGAGTTTTTCTAAGATTCTCATAATAAATAATATTTTCAAACACATGTTTACGATATTTTGTTTTGCATACAATAGTACTGGAGGAAAATGGAAGTGCGAAATGTGGCCATCGCAGCTTTTAAAGCAACTCTCTCTCTCTCTCTCCCTCTCTCTCTCTCTCTCTCTCTCTCTCTCTCTCTCTCTCTCTCTGGATCGTTTTTTCACTTTAGTAAATCCTTTTCGGATCCTTATAAATTTGTCTTTTAATTCAAGGTTATTTTATTTACACAGATCTACATCAGATGTTCAGATTACAGATGTCAGTGACCCCCAAACCTTGTAAATATAAGGGGTTTCCCAGAAGCCACCTCTGATATATGTGTAGTTTGTATATTTTAAAACAGAGTACAAAGCCACTTCTGAAATACGTGTCGTTTGTTAATTATCACACTGAGGTTAAGAATAACATTACAGCAGATTAATTAATATCATTTATATTGTATATTTCTCCTTCTTTTTTAAATTATGCAGGCCTATCTTCCACAGAATAAATATCTGTACATGTATTTCTAAAGCGTTGTAAATATGCTATTTCAGTCATAATTTTAAGTGTCTCATATTGGAGACATCATGTTCGATGTGTTTTAGTTTGGGTGTGTAAAGAGATGTTTCTATAAGATGTTTTAGTCTTGTGTTTGAATTATATCTAACTGTAAGATTATTATACTAAGGTTAGCTTTTTTTCTATATTTCAAAGGTATGGTATGTGATTTCGCTTATTACGTATGATTTTCCATAAGACACAAGACGAATGATAACTTTCGGGAATGTTATATTTTCAAACAATCCTACTTTGAAGACAAATTCAAATAGTAACTTTAGTATAACTTTTGGGTATGCTATAGCTACAAACAATCCTACTTTAAAGACAAATTAAAATAATAACTATAATTGAAGTTTATTTTTATTTCGCAAACAATTTCATGAAAGAATTCAAATTGTAAATCAATTACATAAAACATTCTGACAAAACGATCGTTTAATTCTCATCGATAAAGGTTTGAAATATTACCTATGAGGAAGTTTAGATGGATATTATCGAGATTTATGTGATTTAAATGCAACAAAATGCAGTAAGAAGAAGATATAATCTAGAAAAGGTCTACCAATGGTTGTGTAATACACTTTAATAGCATTTATTTTATAATACTTTTTACATAAGATTAAGGAATATTGTTAAACAAATTGCGTAGCCTTTACAAAAAATGTCAGTTCAACATTTCTAATAATATAAACACATTAAAATCATATCCAAAAAATTATTTTAAAGTTCAACTTCTTATAGTATGAAGTGTTTGGTACATGTACATATGTATGACTAAATATTTTTTAAAAAGAATTATTATGTTAAGTTCAAATGTATTCAAATCCTGATTACTAAGATTCTTGTAAGGTTGTTCCAGTCTAACTTGTACACCCTGGGAGAGACCGAAAACGGAAAGGAATGAAGGAAAGTTAGGGAAACAACAAATTACAGAGAGGTCCCATGATACAATACACTTCAGGTTTGATGATTAAATTGACAATTGTGACGATGATATCGTGTTTTTGACTATTCATTATTTGTGAAATCTATTTCAAAATTTTGCTCTCATTTATAGTCTGTGATGAGATCACTACAAAGGTTATTGGAAATTGAATAAAAATGAGACCCATGAAAGCAGTAGTGTGTATGTGTGTGTGCGTGTTTAACAGTTAATCTCATGAATAATATTGTTTGCTGATAATTGATTAAAATCTTGAATAACACTCTCTTTCATCATACGTTTTAACTCAAATACTCTTCGCATTTTTTTCCATTTAAGAACAGACACCAGTTTGGTTTAACATATTAAATAGATTTATTATAGGGATTTTGAAAGCGTGATAGAATCGTCATCAGGAAACCGGTTCACGGAAATTAGTGGAAGAGTAAAAAAAGTAAGATTTTCTCTTTCTGAAGAATTCTAATAAAGGAGAGATAAATCTCGCTTTTTTCATTGTATTTGGAAACGGAAGAATATACGTCTTTCAAAAGTGGTCATTCAAATTTAATTACTTCCATATTTGCTAATTTGCTAATAAATAAAGCTATACATAGATCACATGGTGGTATTTGTCTACTACTTATTGTCGCAATAGGATCTTCTCTTTTTTTTTGCAAAAACTTATGATCATGAATCCTTATCTCAATATTTGTATTGAATTACTTACTAATGAAAGTAAGTCGCTTGATGATGGCATTCGTAATAATGAAATGTGAAGATAAAGAAGTGTTATCAATCTCAAAATCCATTTAAACAATATAAAGTATGAGCAGAGACAACAGGTACCTCTGAAAACAGAGGTGGGATTATGTACCATAAAGATGTAAGCATCCCCTGTCAACCGGTCACACCCGTCATTTGCATGCTCCTTTTCATGATCAGGTAAAAGGAGATCCGTTTATGTACAATATAGTGTGAAAAAAAAATGGCCTACCAATTAGTATGAATGACCAGGGACCTATATACTAACTACTGTATAGGTCCCTGGTATCATCAACAGCCTACCTCGTTTTAGAAATTATTTTTATGTAGAACATGCTCTTGTGTATCGCATCAAATGGTAATAATAGTATATTCCTATATAAACAAGCATTCTGAGAGTATTGCATTAGCAATACTAGTCCCCTACCGGCAAGTGCAATCTGGTTCCCGTTAAGAATTGAAAATGCCATAATTCCGTCAAAAATCAATGAAGCGGGACGAAATGCAAACTTGATCTATAACTAATCAAGGTAAAGTCACATACCAAAAATCAGCTCAATATCTGAAAGCATTTAGAAGAAAATTGTGGAAAACCCTTAAAAATTGAAAAGGCTGTAATTCCTTCAAAAATCATTGGAGCGGAACGAAATGCAAACTTGATCTGTAACTCACCAAGATACACTCACATACCAAAAATCAGTTCAATATCTGCAAGCGTTTAGGAAAAAAGTGCGGAAAACCAAGTGGGACAGACTGACAGACAGACCGACAGACGGACGGACAGACTCAGAGGAAACCTATAGTCCCCTCCGGTTTCACCGGTAGGGGACTAATAAGGGAAGTTGACCATTGAAAAGTTGAAGTCATCACTTTTATAATAATGTTTAGTCGTCAGTTTGACATCCATGCCTTTTCCTAGTAAAACATTCAAATATGAAAGAGATGTGCCGGACTCTGTGGTGTGTTTTTCTCAGTTAAATGATATATTAACTCCACATAGAAATTAATGAAAATGAAATACATGTATTGTTAGTTGTTAAATCAATACATCTAAATGTTGAATAGAAGACCACAGTAAAAGACTTCTTTTTATTTCAAAGGTTTTTTAATAATTCTGCTTCATATGAATACAAAACAGGTCTACTAGTAACGGGGCGCAATTAGTATCTTTGGGAATTAGAACAGATTGTTGGAATTAAGACCTAGTCTCCGAAAGCTACATAGATATTGTCAATGAGAAATTCAAGCATCTTTTCAATATCAACCTCCAAGTACTTATATATAGAATTTCAACGAAATAATTTTGCAGATGACCAATGACAAGGAATACAAAATGAGTTTCGCTTTCTCTTGTAGAAGCAGTTGTCTATGATGTCAAAAGTCTTCCATTTATCGTATGAAATGCTTTATAATGCTTTACTAATTGTTGAAAGTCGTAAATTTTGATGCTATTGATTTGGTAATTTTTTTATTTCAAATCTTCAAAGAGTTCCTTGGAGTTTTTTTAAGTATCCACATCTTTTTTAACATCACTGCTCGAATATGTTGTACAGTTACTTAAGCAATAATTTGTTACATTTTGTTCAGTTTTCATTCTGGATGATATTGTCAAGAGGGTAAAAATTTCCCTATTGACTTTCAGGTTGGACTTGTAACATATTGACATATAAGCTGGACTTAAAAAGGTCATTTTTGGGTATCCATGACTATGTTGAGTTTTGAATAAGGTGGATGAATTAAAAACATTCTTCATATTTTTAAATGAAAATTATATCTTAATATATAAATGTATTAAAACATCGAATATATCATTGTGTTGTGTTCATATGACTTGGTTTACTATGGTTTGATTGTTTTGATATGTATTCTTAACTTAAAAGCTATTTTATTTGTGATACAGTTTGTTAACTTACTGGGTATATATGTACCTTAGTTTTGCTTAGAATCAGTTGTACCCTTTGATATTCTCTGCTTTGTTGGTTTACAATGAAATTACAAAACTCAGGCACAATTTTTCTCTTGTTTTTATCTGTCTAATTATTTTTGAGCTAAAACGGAAAATTAATCGAATATGGTCAGCCTCAATTCGATTATCAGGTATGGTAACTTGAAATGGTTTCATAAATGAGTAACCCTTTCATTAAAAACATTTTGTGAGTTTAAAAATTTTAACACACAAATACTCTCTCTCTCTCTCTCTCTCTCTCTCTCTCTCTCACCCTCACACACTAACAAATCCTCACACACACACACGTTTAATTGTAGAATAATACGAAAAACTATAATAATGCAAGTAATAGAAACTAACTCTTGTTGACATTTTTAGAAACATTACTGTTCTTATTATTACTATTCTTAAGGTTGTTTATGGCTGGTTTTCCTACTGCTTGTCTCTTAACAGCTTTTCCGACTTTTGCCTCTACTTGTTCAATTTCGTTGCATTCATCTGCTTTTTGATTGTTTAACTGTGTAGACAGATTTGTAGGTTTGCCGATTTTTTTCTGATCTTCCTTTGCATTCGGTTTGTTCTGAAGCTTGTTATGCAGATTTCCTTGGGTATGTTTTCTGTGAGAAACATTTTTCCCCTTTGTCTCTTTGCTTTGGTCCACACTTTTACTATCGGGGATCGGGTTTGAGTTTCCTATCAACGAAGTCTGCTTCATGTTCACAGCCTGATTTTTTAGGTTTGGTTTACTTTTTTTATCGTCCCCCTCGTTTTTCCCGCCTTTTTTATTATTGAATTCTTCAGTCTTGTCTTTTGTTGTGCTGTCTGTATACTTGTTTTTAAATCTTCTTCCTCTCCCCATTCGTCGAATAATCTTTTTCAGTCGAATGGCCAACTTAGCTAGGTTTGAAAAATCCGCCAAAATTATAAGCCCCAACAGGACTGTGATTAATATAGGCCCAAAAAGAATTCCAACACTTGTAGCTGAGGGTCTAGGATCATCTGCACAAACAAGCTTCCTAATATATTGTGACGTAGTTGTGACATCGACAGTTAATTGCCTCTTCAGTTCTCTAATTTTTTCTTGAAGGGCTTCTTCTGTGATATTTGAAGAGGAGCATGGACATTCACAAATTTCTTCCGTAGGAATAGGGGGGCATTCGTCACTTCTTTCTATATCTATTACAGCCATTTCCAGAAAAAAAAATAGAACTATAAGACATATACACATACATGTACATATAGGTATCATGCCAAGAAATCTCTCCTGGTCTAGATTAAGGGTAAACTTAGTAAACGTGCAATATTAAAGCTTATTATTGATACTACCCTGATAGTGGTGCGAAGCAATTATTGACAGCAGTTTTAAAGGGGGGGGGGGGGTTCTACCTGTATAAGTTTTAAATTTGATCCAAGGAATTATATACATTATTATTGATAATTATTAATTTTGTGTAGACGCTGTTTCTTGATTTACCATTTTCTGGTACTTGAGGAAGGGGGCACTGAATGTGTTATACTGCATTTTTACCTCACAGGAAATTCAAAATAGGAAATAAATGGAACCCCCAACCCACACCAAAATCAAGAGTACCAGAGCTTGAAAAGGGTCTATGAAGGAAACTTTGTATGATAAAATAGCATCTTAAAAAAGTTGATAATTGATGATAATAATGTTAAACCATTTCTTAATTTAAAAAAAACATGAATAGTTTAGCATTCAACTCTTATTTATGTAGCTCCATTAATTGCTTCGGGCTATTCTTAAGACAAAATCAGTGAATCGAGTAAATTGCACTTTTACTGGATGCATCCCAAGTTTAGACAGCAAATGATTACTTGGCATGCCATTCCTATATGCTTCTATACTCATTTGAAAGATCTACAATGCATAAATAATTCATATTCTTCTAATCTGTTATCAGTGTCAAGATCTAGTCAAAACTCAGGTTAGTTAATCAAAAGTAAGTAACATGTTTATGAAGATTTCAAACCTATTAATGATTACCTGCTAGGACTTTCCAACAGACTTGGGCTGTGCCATATGCAGAGATTACTATATGATTGACGTCAAAAACGAATCCAGTGTCTTTTGTATGGAAAGTGTTGGTACTATTTTCAAAAACAGTAATCGTCCCATTATTCCAGGCTGTATAATTAAAAAATGCAATACTACCTTTATCAGGTTATTGAAATATAGCTAATGCAATTGAGTCGAGTTCGATTGGATTTATTAATTTTTCATGTGTATTACGTAAGGTTATTAAGTCATATACTAGATTTTAGTAATTTTTATCCTTTTCTTTCTCTTCCCTTTGTTGCTGTTTTTTCTATCTCTCAAATTTAACTTCAAATTAAAAACTTTGTTTTAAGAAATACTGATCTATTTTGATGTCTATGAGGAGTGCATGTAATTATTCTCTTAGCTGTTGAAGCAGCTTTTGTACGAAAATTCAAATTTTTCCATGTCATTTATCACCCTAATAGACGACATGTGATAAATTTATTGTAAAAAGTCACTAGATCTAATATTACAAAAAAAATTAAAAACTTTAAAAATGACGAATACTATGTATTACATTTTTTCTTTTCAATTATAATTAAACTACTCTTTTCTGGATTTATTGTACAGGATAGAAATATATGATCATTAAATTCACATTTTTGAACATGACATTTGGCTTTATCTGAATTTTCAAAATTCCATCTAAATTACGCATAATTATTTAAATATATGTAATGAAATATAGCTGATGAAAAATAAAATGAACGATTATCACATGTCTGCTACATACATATTATAAAAATTTCACATTATTTACTTTTACATAATTTCCCCAAAGTAACTTTAACCAACGTTCTTTATGAAACTTGATACAATATAGGTATGCATACTTTACAGAAATTATAATTAAATACTTTGTTTTTTTTATCTTAATTCTCGCGCTTCCATCTCTTTCCTGAATCGTTATATTAGCCACACATCCAGATATAATAGTAATTATAATAAAATAAGGACACAGGGCATATTTAAAAGGCCACACGAGAGTTCACGCGGTTATGAAGCTATTATCCTGCAGTTCACTTTTAAGTTTACTGTAGACAACACCTGTAGAGCCCTGAACATTACCTTTATGGTTACTGTAGACAAAACATTCGTATAACCCTGAAGTTTACCTTTATGTTTCTGTAGACAAAACATTCGTATAACCCTGAAGTTTACTTTCATGGTTACCGAAGACAAAACATTGAAAGATGTATGATGTAAAAATTTGTCTTGAATTTTTCTTAACCTGTTAACATTCCAATGAATCGTCAGTTTCTAAATGATAAGAATTCATGAAACTGAAAAGGAGCATTTGTCTTCTTAGCATTATACATTTATTGACTGGGTTCAAGGGCAACATGCGTTTTGTCGGACCCAAGAACCAAACTGTTTGCCTGAGGCCGTTAGGCCGAAGGCAATCAGTTTGGTTCGAGGGGTCGACAAAACGCATTTTGCCCGAGAACACAGTCAATAAATGTTTTGTTATACCTTTCATTTCATCATTTTATTTATTTTTTTTTTTTGACATACATTTATGTCGAACACCAACGAATGCAAATGAGATTTAGCTGATCCCGCCCATTAAGTGACGCAAGCGGTCCAACATCTCATCGACAGGTCCAATATCTCACTCCGCGGTCAAACATCGATTTTTTTATGCCCGCTCAGTAAAACATTGGAAATGTTAGACTTTTATTAGTATTGATTTATATAGGAACACATTTTTAAAGGTATAACAAAAAGTAATGCTTACTCACAAATTTTGAAATATTTCCAGCTGTAACAATCCATAAAACTACCAGTCCGCTGAAGTAAGCTGTCGCCATATCTCTTCTTTCGAATGGCAAAATATTGGTTTTTACTTGCTCCGATGACTATTTCGATAAAGTTATGTGAATAATTTCCACGATCGTTCATCAGTCGAACATGCGCATCTTTACAACCAAGCGCTATGAATTCAAATTCTGCCATTCCACTGATATTCAATCCCAATTCCGTCAGATCGACCTCACTGTTTCCTATTGTTGTGATGGATGCCCCTCTTTCTAGCAGAGATAATTTACGGCCATTAAACGTTTTATCACAAGACAGAGAGTTACAGTATAGGAGAAGTAAAGATCAAGCAATTTTGTACAATTTTTATGCACACAAGCACGTAGACGTAACAAATCTGCGTATGCATTTCCTTTTCTCAAAATACAAATACATGTATATGACTTTTCATTAACTTTTTAACACATTTGGTCTTAAGCCCTTTTCTAATTAATTCATATTCCATAAATTTTAGGTAAACTATATAGAAGTTTGTTAACTATACTGATAGAAGTTATTATTCTCTGTAAGAATATTTTTACCTTGAGAACTAAATCTATTAATCAATCTTCACACACAATATCACTGAAATGGTATAGTTTGCAATATAAGACATTTATTCCCTCATAATTTAAAAGCAAATTAAAACGTTTCATAGTACAAGCTACACTTTAAAGTATTGCCGATGTGTCTCCTGACCCTGGAAAGAGACGACATTGTAAATCTGTCTTTATGCTTTTGTGCAATTTTCGTAACTGAATATGTGCAATCTCTTTAAAAGAAAGTTTGGTCTAAGGAACAAGTTGGGGGGGGGGGGGTTACAATCTACATATTTGCCTTAATTCAAATTGGTAGCTAATTATAGGCATATATGTCATATATAGTATAGAACGAACGACATTTATTAGACCTCTTCTCTTCTTCCTGGTCATAACTTTAAGGTAGAGATTAGAATATATATATATATATATATATATATCTATATCTATATCTATATATCTATATATATATATATATATATATATATCTATATCTATATATATATATATATATATATATATATATATATATATATATATATATATATATATATATATCCTACTTCCTGTTCTGTAAACCGTCATAGAATTTATCCCTCCACAGGAGTTTGGCTCACCGCCACATTGCAAGGTACATCCACTGGAAACAGTACCGTCGTTTGTCTGTGAGCAGAAACAAGTGTTTGCATTCTGTAAAATAAAAAAAAATGTCTTCTGAAATTGATGCTAAGAAAGTTTATTGATGCCTGTCGGTTAATTTTTTTCATAATTTGAAAAGCGCCAAATAAGCCATTAGTTTACAAACATAAGAATCGCTTACTTGTTTTTTAAGGGTCGCTTTGAAACATACCTGTATTCTTGTAACATATTGACAGATGTAGTTTGAAATGAGCGTCTATGGTTTAAACATTGGTCCGAGTAATGTTATATTCTAATCTGCATGGTGTGATTGAGTCCTAAATACTCTTGTTTTTCTATATTTAATTTTAATCCTAATGAATTTGAAATAAACATTAATGGCTTCATGCATTAGTTAGTAAAGTCATTGATAAATGACAATATATGAACATTTCCTACACGGAATCCGGCTACATGGTTGCTATTGATACAACTATACAATCGATCATACGAATAATTATGTTAAAGAAATCAAATGGAAAAAAAAATATGTAAAAGAACTTATTTAAGGACTGCAGTATTCTACCTAAGGTAAATACCTATACAAGTGCAGTTACAACTATTCCAGCAATAATGAATGATTTTGTCAAAGAAATTTCTTGTTGGAAAGCATACCTACGTAAGAGTATTAACTTTAAAGTTGGAATTACCAACTCAAAAAAAATATTACGTGGCACTATTACGCTTCCGTACATACCAGCTTTTAAGCTGTATATTTTCTTTTCAGAAATATGTATTTGGGGGAGAAGCGAGGCTTAATGATTTTATTACCCTTGTAAAGGTATAGCTGTAAAAGAGGCCGTGATATATCATATAATGAGTCTGTCACCTTTGTAATTAGGCCTGTAGAATTTTTTTCCATACATTTTGCAGAAAACATTGCTTAATAGCTACTTATACATAAATCTTTAACAGTCGTTATACTATATATAAAATCTTGCATTAAGGCAAATTTCTTCATTGTTTCTAACATCTGCACGTTCAAGACGAAATTGTAAGAATGTTACTCATCTTTAAATTATCCTACCTATATGAATTTAAAACACTTATAATAATTTATATTACCTGTATGGCAGAATAAAGATATTCTCTTTCGGCGCAAAACTCCAGACAGGTTTCAATTTTATTTGTACCGGCTAAGTTAACAGTGTCGTTTCCAACGCTCATGTTGTCAAAACAACCAACAATCTGGTCTACAAAAATATTCAAAACGCAAGAATTAACCAAGATATCTTCATTAATTATAAAAGATTTAAAATATTCCTAAATCAAGACATGTGATTTAAATGAAATAACAAGATAATTAACAAAAATCATACTCAAAGGTCCAGTTAAATGATACAAATTGAGAACAGAGCAAAAACAGATCTCTGAAAACATCAGAAGTGTGATCAGGCGCCATGAATAAATAAGAATCCCAATCGACCGTCGCATCAGTTAAAAACCCTAATTTGTATTGATTGGGTAAACGGACTAAAAGATACAGTAAAAGTTGTCTAATTCGTATTAGACAACATTCAAGATTAGACAACGAATAGGGAGAAAATAACAAACAGAAAAAAAACCTACAAACAAAACAAATCTGTGAACAGAGCATAAAATACGGACTCCGGAAATTCCAGAGTTGGGATCGAGTGCTTAAGGAAGAGTAAGCATCCTCTGTCGACTGGTCACGCCCACCGTGAGCCCTACGTATTGATCATGTAGGCGGAATACTTCGTAGTTAAATTTAGTATAAAAACAAAGGCCTCACAATTGATATGAAATATATCAGTGGAAAAATTCCAAGGTAAGTTATATTTGCTAAAAGGTCATTATAACGACCATGGAATTTACGAAATACTGGCTTTAGACGAGGTTGATGCAATCCCTGTAACATCAACTTATCTATCAGTAGCCTGCCTCGGTTTAAAAATAAATCATACCCAAAGCATGCTCTTGAGTATCCAAAACGAAGACGTAAACGCCATATGCAGATGGCAGCGGGATATTACTACATAAATAAGGAAAGTTGACGATGGAAAAGCTGAAGTCATCTTGTTTGAGAGACAATTTAGTTGTCAATTGCTCCATATTGTGACGTCTTTTATTTCGACTTCAGTGGGATATACGGTACATGTATCGAGTCAACATATGAATGAAATTATTGTTAATTGATAACACGTCATCGATATATCTTAATGTTGAGTTGAAGGCCACAAGTGTTTACTTCTTCTCACGTACAAGTTTTTGGATAAATTCTTCTTCATAGCAATATAAAAAAGGTCGTCTAATACAGGAGCACAATAAGTGCGCATCGGAATTCCAACGGTTTGTTCGAAGACCTGGTCTCCAAAGACTACATGGATGTCGTCAATTAGGAACTCCAGCACCCTTTAAAAATCAGCTTCAGAGTACATGTGTGTAGAATCAGAGTTATTTTTAGCAAGTAATTTTGTTGAAGACCAATCACAAGTTATAAAAATCTACAAGTTCCATTAATATCGAAGAAAAAGTTTTTTATGAAATCAAAAAGGCTGGGATTTAATTTATCGTGAGGAATGCTTGTATACAGTGTAGAAAAAGCCAACGTTTTGATGTTACTAACTTGAGAATAAGGTGATTTTAAAACAGTTAATATTTTTGTGAGGGGTAAAGAATGACTTGAAAGAGCATTTGCTTGATCCGGCGATGCATCTTTGTTTGTAAGGATCTTGATGACCTAAAGGAATCCAGTATAGTAGGGTAGATCAAACTTACTTTAAAAAAGTGAATTTATTGTAAGGGACTTAAAGTTTACATCGTATTAGGCCAGATTCTGGAATACACAACATTCGGATTACACGAGTTTTACTGTAATATTGAAAAAAAAGTGGCTTGTATCAAATATGACAGTCAACATTTGATCTAACTGCAAACAAGATCATTGCATCAACAATAGAATCTGCAAAATGTTTACAAAACAAGATTATTATGTCCTAGTAACATCAACTTATCTGTCAGTATCCTCTCTCTGTGTAGAAATTGTTCGTACGCAGAACATCTTGAGTCATGGTCTAAACTAATTATCGCTATATCAACTCGAATAATTTGACTCACTGTGATTTTTTTTTGTCTTTTTTCATTCTCGTTCTGTAAATTTTCAAAACGCTGTAAATTCTGTACTTATATGCTTTATACCATTCACTTGGATAATGACAACTCGTATGTCATGTGGAAAAGATAACTCAAATACCTAGTTTTATATGTATACGTACACACACAGTCTGTAATGTTAGTTGCTCCATCAGAGATGGTTGTCTTTGCTCCTCCACACGGCTCACATCTGAAAGATGGAGGAGATTCCCCAAAAGTTCCCCTTGGACACTTCTTACATTCTCCTGAGTATGTAAGGTATTCCCCGGATGTGCAGGCAAAAACGGCAGCTATTAATTATTAATTAAAAAATAAGTGATCTGATAATTCTTAGGTCATTTTATAGCCATGTTTTTGTTTAGTTCTCTACATACAGAGTTTTTGAAATCCTTAAAAATTTTGTCTGAGAATGTCAACATATTTTTTACTTAATTCAATGATGAAATTTTCAATGATAATGATTTTCTCTCTAAAATAATAATAAAAAAAAATATAAAGACATTTAAAAATTGGGGTTAGGATAAAATGTTTTTAATTATTAAAATATGTTATTAATATCAATGAATTTGTCAAAGTAAAGAGGATTTAATGCTAAGTGTTATACATATTTAATATTTCTCAAAATGAAGTCAACTGTAAAGTATTTTTAAAAACTTTTTCATGGCTTTCCTGATAGCTGTCTGGGTGTATTTTACAGTGAAAATGGTTATATTGTAAATCTTATAACGGTACTAATTTTGATGCAGCACATGCGCATTTAGACAAATAAAGTCTCTTCAGAGATGCTCATTCCGAAACGTTGAAAATCCGAAATATCTAAATTCAAAAAAACTTTGAAGAGCATGTAAATTTAACACTTTGACAATTTACAATGCTCTCAAATCAATAATGAATCGATATAAATTAATTAAAACTTAATGAGCACACACTCTTCATTTGATTTTTAAGATTAACAAAAACTTGTAATCAACGCATTACATTACATGTACAAATGACACTCTGAATATATATATATATATATATATATATATATATATATATATATATATATATATATATATATATATATATATATATATATATATATATATATATATATATATATATATATATATATGTGTGTGTGTGTGTGTGTGTGTGTGTGTGTGTGTGTATGTATGTATGTATGTATGTATGTATGTATATATACCTACTGTTGTAAAGAAATACTTACAGTTTATGACAGAAAGACTTCCAAAACCTGTAAAAGGAAAAATAAAATGCATGTAGCTGAGATTACGTGTCATTTTTGCTGCGACACAACCAGAACAATTGCATCTTTCCACCTAATCATAACACAGAAGGATATAATCAGACCTTCCCTAATCTGTTAATGTTTCAGACAAGAATTCTTATCTATTCTATATTCTTTTATAAAAATAAATTTAGATAAACTAATATGTTGAATAAACAATGTCATAAATTAGATTATTATATATTACTTGAGTTGGTGTTAAAAAAAAAAGATTAAGTCAGATACGTTATCAAGTAATTGATTTTCTGACTGCTATCTTCAAGTAATTGAATTTGTTTTGTTCCTTTCGAATTTTCGTCTGTAGGAAGTTTTTAATTAATTCTTAAAGAATTTGTCAGAAAACTATATAACACTGTAATTGTTAAGCTCAAATGGACAGGTTTATTCGAGAAAGTAACAAATAAAGTCTTAATTAACACCTTGTTAATATATTTTTCCAGAACAAGATAATCAATGTCTAGAAAAAAATTAAATATATTCAGTCCTTCATTTTATACCTAGGCTTTGACTGCAAAATTAAAAACTCATTGCAGAACTTCATTCTCAGAGCCATTGAGGGAACTTTAGCCTTCTTTGACCGGGGTTTTTATGATCTCATCCGAAAGACCAGCAACTTCCACTTCACATTATTCGAGCGCTTGGCGCAGGGACAATTCTACCTATATTTCACCATGTATTATGATAACACATATTCAAAAAGTGGATTCTCAAAAATCCAAATTTTTTCCTAAATCAATAGCATGAAAACGTATGACTTTTTAACGCTTTATATAACCATTCCTCACGATGACCTAAAGAAAAGCAGGGTTTTTTGACATCTTTGACAACTGCTTCTTCAATTTAAAAAAAATAGAAATATTCATAGCTTGTGAAAGGTCATCTACAAAATAAATTTGTTAAAAATTATTCTGATTCTTATTCTGGGTACTCTTAAATTGATGTTAAGAAGATGAGAGTTCCACATAAACAATATCTATGTAGTCTTTGGAAACCAGGCTTTCGAACACTCGATCTATTGGAATTCCAATGTGCTTTAATTGTGCTCCTTTATTATCTGACCTGTTTTTATATTCTTATGAAACAGAATGTGTACAAAAACGTCTACATGAAAAAAAAACTCTGACTGTGGCCTCCTATTCAACAATTGGAATATCAACGATATTTTATCAATTAACAATAATTATGGCCATTCATATGTCGACTCAATATATTTCAGTGAACTCGAAATATTGGACACTAAAGAGTATGCTCAGTTAATTCATATTTGAAAGCTTTAATTTTTACTATAGATTTTAATGGTCAAATATCACCTAAACTACACGAAAAACGGGGTGACTTCAGCTTTTCCGTCGTCAGCTTCCCCATTTTATGTAGCAATATTCCACTTTCACCTTCATATGGTATTTATGTCTCCAAACTGATTCGGTACGCAAGAATATATTCTTTTTGACTCGAGACAAGCTATTGTCAAATAAGTTGATTTTTAAAGTCAGCATTTTGCGAATTCTATAATGACGTTTGCCAATACAGTTTATCGTTGATTCCTACTAATTGTCAGATCATTGTTTTCATACTAATTATGACGACGGATTACTCCGTTTAGCTGTTCAAAAACAGAGGGATCACGGCGGGTATGACCGGTCGACAGGGATTACCCACTCCTAATAGGCATCTGATCCCACCACTGGTGTTTCCAGGGGGTTGCGCTTTTTCCCTGTTCAAGACTCGTATTCTTTACTGGATCACAGATTGGTCGCTGCTCGTTTTCTTCACCTTTTAAGCTGCTTCAATGTTTGCTTATGAACACATTCCTTTTATCTTGGATGGCATTATTGACTGATTATTGATTGTTGTTTTATGTCCCATTCAAGTATTTAACAGTCACTACCTATGTATATGACTATACACTATATGATTTTCCAATAATGGAACCTGTGTCTCTAGGGCGTCAGGTCTCAGAATGGGGGTATAGTTGTTCATTAATTGAAAATGTACTTTAACGTTAAAAATCTACGAGTTACTTGTAAGCATTTAGGAGACAGACTTTATGGAGTGTGATAACAGTCAAGGCGTATTATATCAAATTGTAAAATTCAAGTCAATATTTTACATTTTTCCTATATCAGGTGGGTCCAGGTTTGCCATAGCTAAGAAAATTTATGGTACTCAGGTGACCGTCAAGGCTTATGGGCCTCTTGCAGTTACATTTTTCTCAATATTCAATGGTCCTTGTACTCTGTACCAACTAAACATGCCAAGAACCTTCCTGTTTATAAATACAATGAAGGAAACGTTACAGCTTTTTATTTTTTTTAAATGTATTGAGATCATTGCAATACTGATCTTAGATCATTGTCACTGTCGATTTCTCAAGTCCACAACACCTGTAGGTATTGCAATATCTTATGATTCAATTGAAAACAAATACTTTTCATAATTTTTTTTAAATATCTTTTGTTTTAAGAGAATGATCGAAAATAAAGTTATGAGTCATCTTTAAAGCGACAGTACGGCTCCAAAATGTGTGCTTTATCATCCAAATTTACCCAATATGTCATTAAGAAATAAGGTATAAAGTTGATGTAAGCAGTTTGAGAAACAGAAATATTCTCTACTCAAACAAAATTAACGTAATTAGAATCTGCCGGAAAATCAAGGGTCGTACGAACTGGAGCAATCTTAGATCTGTTTATTTGTACCACGTGAATTCTAAAACGGCACGTGCCTACACTGTAGAGTTTACAGTTGTAATGAATATTAGGTGAAAGCAATTTTCAAAAACACAAATTATCATAACATTCTGATAAAATAATCTAAAATAATGATCGTAAAGATTTTAGTCTGCATTCAGGCGAATTTAACAGAATTAAAAGTACAAATGTTTACGTTTTGTGTATTGGGGTCCGAGAAAGGAAAACCCAACTAATCATACGTTATCGCGGCAAATGTCATACTAAATATTTTTCTGCACAGTTAAAAAAAAATAGCATTTCAAATGGCAACAATGTTTATAAGTCAAAAATGTATTTTTTATGTTGAGTTTACACTATTTTTTTATTTGAAAGCGACGGAAAAATGAGAAATGATAACTAGTATCAACAAATCTGTCGAATAGAACCTTCGAGAGCCCTGCGTGAGTGTCGCCGAGTTCCCGTTTCTTCCTTATCCAGCGATTTTATTAATCCCCAAACTAAATTTTAGTCAGGAAAGTTGCTTTTTCAAGTTCTATTTTCAGTTTCTTTTTCTTTTTGGTCGACTTTGTCAATGTAGCAGGCCTACCGGGATTCCCTCTCTAACCATGCTGTTTTGTTTCTGAAAACTACGCATGCGTGCATAGCATGGAATGTGGAACCCCGAACACGTTGCGATGTATATATTTACGTCCCATAAATAACTATTAATTTTAATGAAATAATCCAAATTATTTAATTGTAAAAGTTGTAATTTTCTGAAAGTTTATACATTTATGAGTAGTAAAAAAAATTCCAAATCTTGTCGGAAAATTTTGTCTATTCAGTTTTTTGATGAGATGCGCCGTACTGTCACTTTAAGTATATTTTTATTTGCAAACCTTATTCATTCTCTTCTTTTCTAAGCAAATTGAAATAACATGACTTTTGACAATTGCGTTTTTGAGCTTTTCGGGGTTTTGAGTATCTTTGAATTAAGGAATGAAATTAATAGCTACCCAATTTATACGGTATAAACTGGGTTAGGGCAGCTTACGCTTTATAAACCGCGAAGCGGTTTATAAAAAAGCGTAAACTGTTCCTTTATTTTATTTTTTTTTTAATTTTTTTTTTTTTACTTTAAGGCTATCCCGAAAATAATTTGTGCGATTTTTTTTTATTTTAGTAAAGTATACTTATCTGTAAGGCTTGCTTTGACTTTCGTTTAAGGATATTTATCCCTCAGTCAGGAAAAGTAGCTACTGAAATTATTATTCACTGGAGTTATCTTAAAATAAGGCTTAAAATTGAAATCTTTTCGTGCATTACATTTCATTTTATGCTTCAAGATTAGATCTAAGGTCGTTTGGAGTTTGTAAATCATCCTTATGGATGTAGCAGTTGATACATGTATGTGCAGCTTATAAAAGGACCAACAATTGACATATTTTTAAGAAATCAAATCCTTTAAACTCGCCAAATATACTTTATGACATAAGATAAAATTTGTCTTACAACGATATCACGTGCCATTTACACGATCTACTATATGAGAATATTAAAGAGTATCAAAATCTATGTTTTGAAATCAATTTGTTGATCAGTTTTCAATTAGAATATGTATAATTGATATGTTTTTCACAGTTCCTTAAAAATTATTGCAGTTTCACCATAGAATTTCCTATAATTATAATGAACTGCACGTATCTCTACGCTAATATCACTCATTTCAGCTGAAATAGAAGTAGCTTCAGACAAGAGTAGCTTTATACAAGAATAATTCCTAGAAAATAACACCATTTTAGGAAATAAAAAATATTTCTATGTATCTGGATGTTTTGACTTTCGATCGCTTTGGGACCACAAAATAAGTTGTTTTCAAAAATAATCACAGTTTAGATTACTATTTCCAAAACCTTCCCATAAAAGAAATTTTTCATACTGAAATGGAAGGCAGAATTCGAGAGCATGTTTTTTTTTTTTTTATGTTCTTTTTTTTTTCAAACGCATCGAAACTCTCAAACAATAGTTTTGAAATAAATTCAATACTAATCATAAAAAAATGTCATTTAAAAAATTATTGCGAAAAATAAGTTAAACAACTATGCTTCGAAAGTCTTTTTGTATTATTATATTCTTTCGTTTAAGATATCGTCAACTGACCACATTGCACGTATCAGGAGGAACTGGTAGGTATAAAATAGAGATCAAAACGATGTTTAAAGCAGAGTATTGCTATATTTTATTCTTACGTACTTAAGTTATTTTTAGTTATTAACTCCCATGCAAATCCTTTGAAATGGATCCATTCTTGTGATGCATT